TGGCAAATGTATTTCACGAGAGTGGTGATGGCATCGTTGCCTTTTAGGAAATGCAATTACCATCTGATTTTGTGTTATATTAATTGACAACTATTTATATAATGAGCTTATAAGATTATTCCGCGTAATCAAATTATTGAGTCGTTGACATACCTATTTGAGCACAAAATTTAAGCGAAACGTAATCAATACCGAGAATATTAAACAATATTTAAAGTTCTTTCAATTGCTGCGACCTCGTTAATCAAGAAAACATAAGCTTTGTGCTTTCTTTTGTGCAATCTCATCTCGTCTATGTTAAATTTCAAGTATTTTAATACAGAGCTAATTTTTAATTCTTTATTTGTTATGAACGCCTTTACCTTAATATCTCTGATTGTATTTTGCTATGATTATATTCTCTTTTTTCTTTATTCTGCATGATAAATATTTTTGTCTATTAATCGTTACAAAATTCACCTATTTTATTATTTTATGTTAGATCTAAATTATCGGACAAGTATTTTTATATTATAGAATTCAACTTATAATGATTATATATTGATTTTAATAATTGTTGCAGTATTGCGACTCTAGTACCGACCGGTTAGATAAAAACAATTTTATTTTGTTATTTAAGGAAAAGAGTTAAATAAGCACAAGCTTTTATAATATAATTACAATGAAAATATCATTGATGATTATTTCTACAATTTTAATATTAGATATTTTATTAAGATAATATCATGGCGTTATATACACATCTTCTGACAATCTAACAAATTTAATTTAACAATGTTTGAATTTTTAGCTTGCTAGCAATTCATACTACGATTAAAATTGTTTATTCTTTTAATGAAATTAATTTATTAAGAATAAACTTTTATTGCCAGTAAAAATTAGTTTTCTTCTAAAGATTTTCATTATTAATACAGAGACTTTTACAGAACAAAAAAAATTTTAATAAGAAAATTTCAAAATCCCTTCCTCGTGTTATAGAGTATATTAAAGTGACATTTCTTTGCACTTTCTTTCGCGTACTGATTCTCTTATTTTTTACTTTTCCTGTTTGAAAAGTTTGATGTAACGCTGATCCCGATGAAACCTGTCGATCAGTCGCACATCTGCGCTGCATTGCTCGTCACGAAACGAGATTGCATTGGTCCCAATTGGTCCCGGCTTTGAGCGTTATTCCCGGTTCGTCCTTTGAGCCAGTTGACGTCTGAAATCGTATCATGCAACGCAGCTAGGATACGGCGCGCAGCCGAAACGTTGCGGAATCGGTTTAACCTCCCTGCCGGGAGGGCGCGACCGCCCCCGAAAAAAAGGTACTTCGCTCGATGCCCGTGTAGCGAGGCGGCTCCCGGTAGTGGCAGCACTCGTTATTCGCGGTGAAATTACTCGTACCACTCAGCAAGATTGAAGGAGAAATCTTTGATCCCGCGACTCTGCTACCCTCACCGCGTCTGTCACGCGGCTAGACGAGCCAAGCAAATCTTTTTGATGTGCGGCGTGCAATCCCTGGCCACATCTGCATAGTATACGCCGGCCGGCCGGCCGGCCGGTAGGTGAATAAAATTTTCATCGTTGATTTACGAGATGAAAAGTATCTTTCGTAATGATATGAGTGCGCGATATCAATAATATTTCTCACAAGATCGTAGAGAATGTACGCGTAAACTACAGGTAAAATGTTACACGACCTCTAAAGCCTAAAGGGATCCCGCGGTGCAATATATATCTGTTACTCGATAATCCTGCATAATGTATCAGTTTTTCTCTCACGTTGGAACGTGAAACTGAAACGAGAGTTCGCTTAATCAAGCGAATATTGGTACAGTTTTGCGGAACTCCATAAATTTCCCCATGCCCAGTAAAATCGATTGGAATAGATGTATAAAGTATACATTTCAACATATAAATACAGGGTGAAACGACGACCGTAGATCTTTCGAAGATAGATCCATTAAAAGTCGCCGTGGAAGAGCTAAGTCGAGTGGCTTTGTAAAAAGTCTAAGCGTCGGGTATTATTTCGGATATCTCTGGGTATCACGAAACATAAAGTGTAGACGGTAGAGATAAGTGCGGGGTCGTTATCATTCCGCTTGTAGCTGCGGTTTCCCCGCGGCGAAATCGGTAACGCTATCACGTACCGGAGCATTCCTGATTCCGGCGGCCGCGGCGGTATCACGTCATATCCAGACGAAAATTGGGAAATGCTCCTAATTTTCGTCGGCGCATCCGCGCGCAACATTTCATCGCCGCCGCTGGACCGATGCTTACAACGGTACATACTATCGCAAGCTGATTGCACACGTTTCACATTATCGCGCGATCATTGGGGAATCGCGTTTGCCCCATGCTCGTTGGCAGCTGATAATCGTCCCACGAGAGACCGGTGAGCGCGGAGCTGCGAGAAAGAATATCAAGCGGCGAAATATAATTGCGACATATATTTAATTTCAGACGAGCTAATTACCCCGGTTTAATTTTAATTGTTTGGCCGCACATTTCTACGTCATTCGCATCATTATGAATGCAGATATGCATATCTCGTCGTCGAGTGGACCTTAGGGAATTATGGCGGAATGATGAAAAGCACCGTAATTGTATATGACGCTAATTATATACGACAATAACCAATAATTTTTAATAACTGTTGTGCGCAAACACGACTATTATGCACAATTTGGACCTGTCGTCATTTCTCTCTAATTTTTCGAGCGTACTGGACTCGATACCTTGACAAAAGTATCGAAGAACCAATAGATTTTAAGAAACGGACAGAGAGTAACGCTCCCGCGATCACAATGCTTATACAAGAGGAAACAAAATATTGTTCTCGAGCGTTCTACACCAAGCATCCGAATCGACCCGCGTCCTCTGAAAATAAACGTGACAGAGTTATACGGGCGATCTCTCAATCTCGTCAATGGATTCTTTAACGTCACACTTTCAATCGACGTCTCGTGCGCAACGTGTACGAAACGATAGGGTGGAAAGGGGAAGGATAATACACAAGCGGACGAAAGACACACTCAAACACACACGCGCACATATGCGCGGACACACAGTAGCGTTACAGGATCGCGCGAGGGCGCAAGGTCGGGGAGGAAGAAAAAGCGGACCGGAGGTTTTCGCCCGGGGCCGTGATATTACCTAATAAATCATCCGAATCTCTCGCGGTGTCATACAATATGGGCCTGTGCAGGTGAGCGACGTCTATACCAATTTTCATCCCGGGCGACATTCGATGTTCTCGCGCCGTACCTCCCGGCCCTTTCAGCGTGCGCTCCCGCGCTCGACGGCGCGCAGCCGGCTCTCTCAGCCAATTCTATAACCAGGCTGCGCTTCCGTTGCCGACCGGAGATTAATTTTGTTCTGCGTTCTTCCCGAGGCTCGTATTTCACGCGGCCGGGCGTCGACGAATCGCCGCGCTGCCGCGAAACTCGCTAACGAAATTGAGCCTTCGAACTTTTCACGTGGCGTCTCCCCCTCCCTCCCGAATACGGGACAGGGTTTCACACTTGAGGCTCGTCTTGCCTTCACCAGTCGTTCCAAATTAATCGTATATTCAGTTTACTCAGATGTGGCCAAAATTTTATTAATATCTAAATTTTTTGAATTTCTTGATATTATTAATTTAATATGTGTAATAAACTCATTAAATAACTAGCCAGTTGGGTTGACTATAAGTTTCCCTTCTCAATTTTTAATATGTCCCTATATATTATTTTCTATAAACCTTTTCTGCATTAGAGTGAACTATGATTTATTCTAAAGCATGTCCTTGAACGTATTCTTATTTGTTAATTGTCTGTCATTATATAATGACTGTTGTCGCCACTAGTCTTTTAAAATTAATTATATGTCCATTTTAGAATAAGATTAATAATTCTTCAATTTTTCTGTGGGCAATTCGCAGAAGAATAGCTTGGTTGGCCGCGTGTTCAGTATGGGTGCGGTTTAGCTTGACCGTTCTGTTAGCTGATGATACAATTTAAACGGCGCATTGATCAAAATTAAATGCCATGAGACGGCTATTAATGCTACCGTTCTGGTATTTAATCCATTTTATCATGCCGCCGCTTAATTAATAAACATCATTTGAATCGCTCACAACAACGTTCGGTGTTATATTATACAAATAGTATATAAAGGATTAATAATCCCATATTTCACGAGAAGCCAAATTAAATTATTTTAACCAAACTAATCGTAACGTTTAATGTTACGATTATATTACTGATAATATTACTGAAAATTACAAAGACGTGTGATTCATAAATTTTTTTATTTTATCCGTAAAAATTTGTAATCTTTAAAGGTACATATTTTCGACATTTTTTAAACGTTTTTTAATATTACAATCATATTTACGTAATTATATAACCATTTTTTTACAACCATCGTAAATATTGAAAACGAGAAAGAAGAAAGTATGCGATATGCATCTACAATGCGTTTTTAAGCAAAGAGCTGGATTAAATGCAAATATGATTAAAACGTGATTATTTTTAGTTAAAGTAGAAGAATGTAAGATTACCAGATTATAAAATTTTCTATTTTTCTATTCACATTTTATTATTTTCACACCGAACAAATAATTCGCTGATTTACTTTTGCCTATTCTTAACGCATCATTAACACGTCTGGTTCATCCGGCAGGAACCATTCGCGATATTCTTCGAGTTGTTTCACTTGAATTTCGGCTAAATCGTATGTAAAACCATTGTTTTCTTCCGGGTTTTTAATATAATATAATATTTTCAAAGCTGGTAAAGATGTACCGAACAATTCAGAGACCTATTGTTAGTGAGCACTGCTGGAACCGGCTTTCTATTGTAGTCGTATAAGTTTAATGTCTATTAAAATTATGCGATGTGATAGGTACGTGTAACTTCTATGAGCATTATACGATCACCAATACACATGCGATGTGTTACGCATCAAGATTTTAGCAGCGCTTTCAACACAAACAATTGAAGAAACGGTTAATTAAGGAATAATGAGCATGTATGTATACGTGAAACAAGCCATTATAATTTTCCCAGTAACTAACTTTGCTATAATACATAACAATAGTCGGATTATGCGTACAAATTGTGTATCGCGATATGATTATTAAGATAATTTGATAATCGAATTATGTTATAGTTTATACAAATCCTCTTTAATATTTACCTTCATAAATGTTGATATAATATAATTTATAAATTACTAAGTAACAAAGTCTTTATGGCGCCCATCCATTGTTTGACTGTGATACATACAAGAACTATATTTCTTACAAAGATTGTTCTAGTTATGGTACCGAAATTAATTTTTATCCAATCTAGTGATTAATATTTATAGTCATAAATCCAAACCTTCCAGATAATATTACTAGAATTTGCTGCTGTAAATTCTGCAGGCTATAAAGAATTTTTTACCAGATACAAAAACTAGCGATAATTTTTTATTGTGACATCTAGAGAAATCTATCTGCGTTAGTAAGATATTTTTTTGGGTGATTAATCTAGCTCCAACTTTTTAAAGCAACCATCTGCACCGAATAGATTTTCTGCATTTTCGCACTTGCCAACTCGCAAAGATTCGTTTATTCGCATGTGAGTTTCGTCATACTGAAACCAATCGCGAAATTCTTCCAGTACTTTAATATACCTGGCTGTTAGTTCCTTGATAGGTCCCGCTGTCCCACCATATTCATTTGGCAAACTCTCTATAGGCACATATTTCTTCACGGTTTCCATATTCGAATGAAAATGCAGCTAAAATAATAAATGTGTATTTATATCTTATATTTTTCCAGTGAGAAATAAAGGTCGGAAAGACGGCTATTAGACGATTATTAAACGGCATAGATATTAACGGCATCTAATAGCCGTCTAATAGACGTCTTTCCGACTTTCGTTTTTCACTGAGTTTCCTTTCTTAAAAAGAAGAGAAACTTAACATGTCGTTGACTTACTATATCCAGCAGTTCCTTCTTCATGAAGGGTTTTAGTAAATTAAAAAATGTATCTACTATGGGCATAGTGTTCAATACGTGAAGAGCCTTCAATCGAACTGGAGCTGCTTCTTGTACATAGAATAAAAACTTTTTTGCTGCTGGTAAATTGAAACTAGTGGTATGGCTAAGAGTCAAACCGGCTGCGTCAACAACAGCAACCTGTCCCTCGCTGGTGCCATGTATAATATTCTGCACTTCACATGCCATAAGCGCATACTTAATACCTTCCAAAAAGTTATTTTTTATCCGGAAATATTTATCCGGATTCGGATCCAAAAATTTTCCAAATGTAATGATGTATCCTTCCTTGGTTTTTTGCTCTAATGGCGTGGCTCCTCTATTATCGAAAAAATACTTTTCTTTATATGCGGATATGATTTTTAATGATACTTATTAATCTTAATAATTTGACAGAATAACTCACATGACAGAGGCGATCTCTCGCAATTCTTTGCACGTGATTAAATCTCTATTAGTGAATATTTCTGGCGAATGCGTCCTTACGGTTAAAAAATTTTCGATCGTCTTCTTGGTCGGTTCTATACGATAATAGTTGCTATGCAAAAACAAAGCAATATAGTACATGTCTACTTGTGGCATATGAGGCTGCTTATCCATCCAATCCTTTAACATTTGTAGATCTGACATCTTGAGTTCCGGATTTCGCTTGCACTCTTCTTCTATACTAACATGTCGAGGCGGTAACATCGTTGCTCTGACAACCTACAAATTTGTCCACGTTTATAAGTTTTAAGAAGCACTTGTGCGAAAGAGAAAAAGAGCTATATATAAAATCAATAAATAATTAAATAATACAAATTAATCAACTGACACGACGTAATCTTTCAATAATTTATGAAACTATCACTAGTACATGACATTTAGCAAGTTAAAAATCTTGGCATTTCATATGTATATGTATATCACTTTAATCTATACTTATACTTTTTGCTTTCTTTCTCTATACGCATTAGTTCTTTAAATTTAAAAATATAATACATTTTTCAATTGTACGAAGTAGAACATAATATTATTTATTTAAATTACTTATTCGTAGATCATTTCAATAGTACGTTTGGACTTTACTTTTATTCACGATTTTGAATAGTACACTTTCTATATTTCGCATATTTAATGTCTACGGAAATTAAAATAATATACTAACAAGAAAATTGTTCAGGGTCCCCAGCAATAATTAACAACATCAAGTTTTGTTTCACGTTTCGACCATAGGTTTTGATCCTTTTCAAGCGATCTGACAATACAAATTAGAGATTTACAAATTAATACATAAATAAAGTAAACAAGTCAGAGATATTAAGTTCACAGTTACAAAAATTATAATTGTTAGAAGTATTACCTAAGATAGTCATATACATAGACTTGTGTGTATTTTGGTGATGTAGAAAGGATTGTCATGTATAATCACACACTAAAAATGAGAGCGTTAGAGAGAGAGAGAGAGAGAGAGAGAGAGAGAGAGAGAGAGAGAGAGCAAACTCCAACACAAAATTCTCATAGCATCTAAGTCTATATATTATTAATTTCAACCCAAATTTCTGCATCTTTCTCTCTCTCTAACGCTCTCATTTTTAGTATGTGATTATACATAACAATCCTTTCTACATCACCAAAATACACACGAGTCTATGTATATGACTATCCTAGGTAATACATCTAACAATTATAATTTTTGTAACTGTGAACTTAATATCTCTCAGACTTGTTTACTTTATTTATATATTAATTTGTAAATCTCTAATTTGTATTGTCAGATTGTTTGAAAAGGATCAAAACCCATGGTCGAAACGTAGTGATGTTTAAACATAAAAATAGCCAGATACGGTCAACAAAACTTGATGTTGTGAAATAATATATTTAATTAAAGAAATAATTAAATCGTGTTAACTTACCTTGACCGGTTGTTTCTTAATCGGTTATAACAGATGGATCTGTCCGATAAACACTGGGAACACAGCACAGAATGCGAAACGCTACTGCGTTCGCGATAAGTCGATTACACACTGATTTCTAAAGGGGAATGTACGAGCGTTTTAAACGTCCGACGAGAACGATTACTATTGTATTGTGCTCTAAGACCAAGATATTTATCTGCGTAATCACGACCGTACAAGTTGAGTATTATTAGTTAAACAGCAAACAAAAATTGACGCATTATTTTAGAATGTATTATAACATTACTGATTTTTTTGCAGATCTCATTTTTAATTGGATTAGATAAATCTTACTGTTTTTAATATGTTCTATACTGCGCTGACGTTAGCAGAACATTTTATCGACTGGAGCAAAAAATCGATATTACAGCAATTAACTAGCAAAAAATAGCAATTCTTAGATAAGTTGCGTATGATTATGCTGAAATGACTGCCAGCTTAACATACGTGATAATGTTAGCAAAGTAAAATCAAATAACCATAAATTTTTACATAAGTCGCATTCGATTATGTCGAAATGTGCTAGCTTAATATAATAGATGTGACGTCACCATGACGACACCATGACACCGGTACACACGTCAATTCCAACTTTGTTTAGAACGCATTATATTATAATGCATACAATTGCATCGCGATAAGGCGGGTCTGGTCACATGCCGTATCATTGTATCATATCATGATCGCTTTTTATCATGATACAGATACGCTGATTATAACGCAACATGATTGTTCTTTTAGCTCGTATCCATATCATTTAGCCATATTTCTATTATCTTATATACTTATATATTTATTATCTTATATGTCTTATATCTTATACACGGTGTCATTTTTATTTACCACACCCAATAACTTATTTGGTTTTAATTTAAGGACAAAATGTATCAGACAAAAGTTGTTTGGTTTCGAGAGGGACATAAGATAGTGAAATAAATTATAAAGAAGTGTCATTAATTTGACTTTGAATAGTTGTTTGAAGATCACGTGAAAGTCATCTTCACTTTTTTAAAGTGAACCCCCTATTGTTTATTATACTATCTTATTCTACTAATTAATATGAACAACTTTTGTCTGAAATATTTTTTAATTGCCTAATACTTTTTGAGATATTCAAGAGAAAATTGAAAACTTTTCTATATTTAACTTATGATATCTCGATAATTGTTTGTAGGAGGAAAAACTAGTACAGGACTTTTTATCAGGAATATGCTGTTGCATTAGTGCTCCAATTATTAAAAATTGTTATGTATTGTAACATACATTATATCGTATACATTAGCTCCTTTTATTCTTTTTTAACGTAACAGGCTGAAATTAATTATAAAGAAATCGCGTCTAGTAATTCTAGGACCTAAATCGACTGAATAAATCTACTATGCTACGTTACAATCTAATCTATAACTTCGTTTAGATCTAATAATTATTAAGGTTTGTAATTATAATAAGAAACGTAATGAATCTACTTTTCGATTTCTCTAATAGCATTGCATTCGACAGGTTGCGTCGTAAGATTCTGCCGTGATTAAAAGTATCAAAGTTCAAGACTATACATATCACAAGACAGAAAACAATCCGTCAGAATGAACTGTATTGACAATGCACTCACGCCGTGCTAATGTACAGTTAAAAAAGATCTGGCAATGAGATACATGTATCTATTACTAAAATCACTACAGTCTTTGAATAATGGAGTAACAATTAGCGGAGTTCTTCATTATTCAAAGATAATAGAGTGAGATTCTAGTGCCGTGATTAAAAGTATCAAAGTTCAAGACTATAACCTATCACAGGACAGAAAACAATCCGTCAGAATGAGCTGTATTGACAATGTTCTCACGCCGTGCTGACGTACAGTTGAAAAAATATCTGGCAATGAGATACATGTGTCTATTACTAAAATCACTGCAGTTTTTGAATAATGAGCAACAAGCGGAGTTCTTCATTATTCAAAAATAATACGACAACCGCATTGTTGTTTTGCAAGCATCAAATTTACAAGCTGCAAGTGGTACAAAATTAATGAAGTTAAATGCTTCTGCAAAATTATATGTGTGTTTGTATATCGCGTTAAACCATAACAGACTATAATTAATTATTATACAAATGTAACAGCGAAGCGGAATAAAAATTATCAGAAGCAAACTTCACAAAACAAATTTTATTTGTTACGTGTTAAAATCATAGAAGAAAGAATTAAGAAATACTACTTGAATTATTTATATTGATGAAATACACACACACACACACGCGCGCGTGCACGTTCTCTCTCTCTCTCTCTCTCTCTCTCTCTCTGTGAAGTTATTGCGTTTTCTACATAAAATGTAATTAACGTAAATGATACAATTTAATGTCGTTTAGATGTTAAAGCAATTGTACGCGAGTACGTGTATATATTGCGTGTATTGCGTGTACCGTAATTGCAATACCCATTACCGTTTTAAATTGTGAAAATCGGTGTTACGCTCATTCTTTCACATTTGCTCTTCAGAAAAATAGTTTTCTGCTTCCTCCGGCCTGTTTACTAATAGCTTATTCCGCGCGATTGTAACGAGGAGTCTTTGAGTCTATTCCTTCACCAAACCTTTCCTTAATCCCGAAAGGTCGACTGGGGTAACTTAGCCCTTTGTCGACAGCACGGGGTTGAAAAGCGAGATGGCTTTTTCGTTTTTCTTAAAGATCGTCTTTGCCTTCGATGCGCGAAAAGCCGCGTCAACAACTCACGTGACGCGACCGGGTTTCAGGATCACCTTTAGCCGCTTATCATGTATAACGTGCTTTCAAAGAAAATGAAAAGAAAGTTAGTTTTTTTATATTTTTGCTTGTAGTAATTGCACGCTTATTGATCTCTCAAAAATAAATATATTGATCTTATTATAATATGCTTTTTGATTTTGTCATTGCATCAAAATTAATTTGCAAAAAATAGGGAGAGTACACTTTAATTATTCTGCCATTGTGACTGTATTAATAATTGTAGTTTAAAGAGATAATCGACCGTTGGCAAATATATTTTTACTAGGATTTTAGCTACTGTTCAATATTTAATATCTTGCCATGAGTATGAGATACAAATTAGGTACAATTGGATCAATTTTGCAAAACTTGTTTTGATTTGAGGAAAATAAAAATAAGAAATATAGTGCATTATACAATATTATTTCTATTTTCATTTTTTACTTTTCTTCTTTGTGGAAGATTTGTTAAAAGAAAGATTATACACCAGTAAGTAAATCTATCAGAAAGAGAGAAAGAGAAAGAAAATAAGGAAAAAAAAAAGAAAGTTTAAAACAGGTCTATTTATTGTTTTACGTCGCGGAAAAAGATTGACACCAGTAATTTATTCCCTCCCTCCCTCCCGACCCTTGCGGATATTAGCGAGATCGATGTGATTCGATTTATTCATTATTATCGCGAAAAATCGTCGTTTTCGGTAGCAAACAAATCAAAATCGCGTCCAATGTATTTTTCGAATTCTCCATTTATTACCAGAGCAAGCAGGCCTCCCACATGGATAAAAGCAGGTATTGCGTGTTTGCCGTGCACATGCGTGAAAACACGCCGAATCTGCACCATTCGCGCTGTTTACGCGAAAAATTCGCAATGCATTTGGCTTCTCTCCTCCCGCTTCTGATTTTTCTCTCTTTTTTTTTCTATTCAACGACGGGTTGCGTCACGCTAACAAGCCGATGGCGTGTTATTTAACCGGTGAATTTACACGCACGCAAAATTGTATGGGCTACGGCCGGCGGGGGTTGATGGAGGGTGAGGGAGGGAGAGAAAGAGAGAAAGCGAGAAAGGAGGAGGAGGAAACACCGCGCGGCATGATGCGAGCCGAGCCTTCCCCCGAAAATTCAACGCCTGGCAAAATCGATGACCGCGAGCGTTTAATTTCGCGGTGTATCAGTGAATTTTGTTCTTCTATTTTTTTGTTTTGTCGCACCACCACGACCGGTGTAAGTTTCATAGTTAATGCTAGCAGCTTTGCGGTGTGTGAAATTTTCCGGTCGCCTCAATCCCAACATCAATTCCCTGCCTATGCGGCTCCCGCGTGTCGGTCCCGAATGCGGTTGTGCGTTGCCCCGAATCGCGTGTACAGCGCGAACGATAAATACGAGCAGTACAGACGATGATTCTATTCGCAAGCGATGCTGACACATCGACCAGAGCAGATGTGTGCTATTTATGATTTATTACCTGCGTTATTATGCATAGATTTTTTGATATTGCGCAATTTTCACGCGAAATTCTTTTGTATTAGATATTATAGATTTTATTTGCATTAGGAGTAGCCTTGTCTGTTTAAAGTTATCTCTAATATTGTTGCATAATAATTATCAACGTTTATTTTTTAATTAAAATTCAATCAACTAATTTTTTTTACATGCTATAAATTATGAGATGTATCCGCACACATACTTGTTTATTTAAATTAAAATTAGTTAAATTTAAATTATTTTATACTACATTTTATAATGATTTTTTATATTTACAGTGCTATTTTGTACATACTTTAGGTATATTGATTTAATAAAAGCTAATTAGTTTTAACATGAGCATATATGAAAATTGTTTTCTAATATTACAATGATTTTATACACATATGCATACATATCTAGATTTAAATACAGAAATATGTTTTCATCAGAATATATTTAATATACCGCTGTCAATAGCTTATTTGGATGATGCGTTATTAATCCGAAAGCAACGTTATCTGATCTGTGTTTTTAAAGAAAATGTGCTGATACGCATAGCTTTGCATTTCAAGATTTATATTACAGACTGTTAATTCAATACCAGGCTTTAAATAAATATTATATTATCACAGTATATTATTTTCATATAAAATATCACATTCTCTCTTCACAGTTTTATCATTATATCCCTTTCTCATTATACCTCATTACGCCTTTCTATTTAATAAAAAATACTAGGGAAAAATGTTACGCATATGATTGTGAAGTTATAGATATAGAGAAAAAACTAAGATATAAATCGTATAAGTTACCTCAGCTATATTAATGGAAATATGTCTTCCTTTCCATTCTGCATATAACTTTCCAGAATTGATAGATGCTTTCGAACATGTTCTTCTGTACA